TCCAATTCAGTTTAATCTCTTCCTGGGAATCACATCGTGGACAGTTGTCCTGTTTACATAATTTATTCAATAACGTTTATTAAACACTTACTATGAGCCTGACACTGGGCTAGATTTGGCTCTGTGGGCAGATGTAAGTCATAGGTTCTTCCACTGGGAGCCTTCACTGGAAAGAAAATAATAATAGTAAGAATAGTACAAGGAAGGTCATGATCGATGTCCTAGAGAGCAGGCTGAGCAAGTTCAGAGAAGAGAGATTATTTTGACTGGACTGTGAAACAAGGGAGGTTTCATGTAGGGTGAGAGTGGTCGGGTGATTTTTTGTTGGGAGTAGTAACATTTCTTTAAGGGGTTCTGCTAATCAGGTAGAATGTTTTTTCATTGTCTCAATGCTTTAAGCCAGACTACCATTGTCATGCAGTGGTCGGGGCCAGAGATGCTAGATGTCTGTAATACATGAGACACTCTGGAAATAACTCCATTTCTTGTTCCTGTTGAAAACTACCATTGGCCTTGGAGGATGTGTAGGACATCTGTATTGGATATTGGGGTGGGGAGGGGTAGTAGGTCAGGCAAGAGAATAATGTGGACTAAAAGTTCAGTCTGAATAAGCAAAGGGAGTTTATGGTGGGAAGAGAAGATCGAGTTCGAGTTATCGAGAAACTTGAGATTAGATAAAGCACTTGGACTTAATCTGTTGCCATTGAGAAACCACTTAAGATATTGGTGCAGGGTCCTTGAAAGCAGAAGCTTAGCCTCCTCTTCTTGCTGTGCAATAAGTGGACGTCAGTGAGCTTTCTGAACGAATGAACGAATGCCCCAGACAAATCATTTCCAGGAGTTGGGCTAGTTAGTATTTGAGTTTTGCCAATATCTGGGATTCTGTGGTCCTGGGAGAGCCCAGGTGTCAGCATTTAGACTTGAGGAAAATACCTGGAGAGGGCACGGCGGCCGGCTACGCAGGTCCTGTCTCCACATCTAAATGAGTGCTGTGGTCAGACAGCAGTTCTAGTTGCCTACACTAAAAAGAAAAGCTAATGCTTTGAAGAAAAGAGGGATTCTTCCATTGCCGCCCTCAGGGAGCCCACAAACCATGAGGCATGCATGTCAGGTCCATACTGTGAAGTCCACATTAATGCCCTTGCATCTCGAGCTTATTATAAATTGCCAAGTGAACCGGCAGTTTGCTAACAAGGCTCATGCACTGTGACCGTGACCGCAGTTGAGCATACGAGCGGCTTGCTGGTCTGCATGGTGATGCCGCCACACGGTGTCCCCTGTAGTGTGGCTTTTTGACATTTGAGTCATTCTTCCTTCTTATGGGGTGGACTTTGGAGGTTGGGAGGGAAAGAAAGCTCAGGGCAGAACTGACCACACACATATGTAAGCATTACTTTGTTAGTTCCTCTCTAAGGTTCTATTTCTGAAATCTCTCAGGAGGAGAGAGGAAGAGGTGTGTAGATGTGTGGAATGACACCACATCGTATGGCTCAGAGAAGGACAATGATTTGCCCAGAGTCATGCAGTGGGCTGGCCTGAGGCTGGCACCTTCTACGACAAAGTTTACATGGCACTCTGCTGCCGAGGGAGAGGATAGTGTGCATGGATGCTGGAGCCAACGGCCTGTAGTGGCTACTGGCTCTGCTTATTATGTTCTTCACCCACAGCTTTCTCATTTGTGGAGTAGGTGTCGTGGTTATATCTGACATTAAGCATTCAAGAAGGTGAATTTTTGTTGACTACAAAGAAATTCAAAATTATTTCTTCTTATCATGATGTGGATGTTTATGGACCAGTAATTGGTGGGACCATCTTTAGAGAAAGGATGGGGCACAGAAGACACTGCTGACTATACCTCATTCACAGAACCCTCTCAAGTGGTCCACTTCCCCACTGCATGGTAAGGAGATTTTGTGCTCAGATTTGGAGGTGCAACTCTGAGGGGAAGCATGGCCAAATTCTTGGAGTTGTGAAGAATTGGGGCTACACTCTTGCCTGGAGCAAGGGATTCTTGTAGCAATATAATGGGAGATGTGGCTGGAAAGGTGGGTTGGGGCTCATCCTGAAGGCCCTGAGTGCTGGCTTGAGGACACTTGGACATTCTTTTTCGTGTAGTTCAGAGACTACACGGGTCTGCTGGGAGAGCTGCAATGAAATGGGGGTTAACCTTCAAGATGTGCAGGGGTAAAAGTCAGGTGAGAGACAGGATTCTTGCAACTGGAACAGGAACCTCAAGACTGGATTTGGGCATATTCTAAGTTATTTTTTTCAGTGGTTCAACTTTTTTACTTGTAGCTATAATAAAATGATAATTTTAATATAGGAAAAAGAGCTGCGAAGTTTTCAAGAGTTTTCTTATCCATCACTCCTTGGTTCTAGTCAGCAAAACAGGGAGGTATAGGATAGGGCTGTTTTCATCCTTATTTCACAGATAAAGAAACTGAGCCTCAGAGAACAAGTGGGATTTCTCAGTCTGCTCAGCTGGTTGATGTGAAAGCTGGTGGCTGGGATGCCAAATCTAACACTCTCTCTTATGCCAATGACCCGGATCAGTGGTTTTCTCAAATTCGCTTTCTCCACCCTTGACGGTCTGCGTTGACATCCTTGGAAGCCTAAAATGGCCATGAATTTCAAAGGTTCCAGAGACAAAGCTGTAAGATTTTTCAAAGATGAGCTGTAGGGAAGTTAGGACTCAAAACGTATTTCTCTCTCTGGCTCTTTATTGGTGTCATATTGTTTGTTCGGGTTGAAAATGTCCATGAGAGCAAAGAAAGAAGGCAATGGGCCCCTTGAGCATCTTCTTTGCCCTGGACACAGTGCTACTTACTTTTCTACATATGGGCTTAGATAAATTTATAGATGGGGTGATCATAACGTAGTATTTTTATTGTAGCATTTTGCTAGAGAATTTATGCATATTAAATTAGTTAATTCTCATAAAACCTAGTTCGGTAGATAAGAATATTATTTCCCACTTTATAGACAAGAAAACCAAGGCTCAGTGAGATTTAAATAACTTGCTTGTGAGAACACAGGTCCTTAATAGAATATCATCTAAGTTTTCTAATTTGAGAACTCTTTTTTCCCCCCCTGCTACGGCCTATGTTGCCTGTCTCATTGGTAAAAAAGCAGAGCTGCTTATTGGGGAGGTACATCTCAGACCTTGGAGGTTACAGGCATCAGAGCTGGAAGGTACTATGAAGAGCTTAGAAGGCTGGTGGTTTTCAAGCTGGCTTCCCGGAACCTGGGAGACCTCAGAAGTGACCTTGGGGTTGGGGTGCTGGGTGGAGGAGGTGACAAGTGGTGAGAGAGTAGGAGGGAAGGGGAGCTCTGGATCCCAGTCAGAGCAGCTCTGCGCTTATTTACTTTACAACTGAGCAACTACAAAACATTTTGTTCAAAGGAAAAGTTCTGCTTCTAGGGGAAAAAACAGTTGGAAAACCACTATGTCAGCCCAGTTTATCCTTTTACTAAGGCTGAGACAAGTCACACTTAGGAGGAATCCAGGAGCTTTTTGTCCTTTTCAAGGAAATGTGCATTCTGTTCACCGCCCTCTGAGGCCTGTGGAGCACCTGGCTGCAGGTTCGAGTGTCAAGCAGCCTGTGAGTAGCTGCAGAAGCTTCAGGCTGCCCCATGTACACTACCCTTGACCTTTTTCAAGTTGGCTCTGTCTCCCCTTTGGACCTTGGGAATCTCACTGAGATTAGTTCCATTTCTGGGCAGAAGAGAGTAGAAATTACAGCCAGTATTGTGTTATCTCTTTGGCCCAACTTTCAAAGATATTGTTTAACCGAATACGTGTGATTATTGAGTGTCCACTGTGTATACAATACTGAAAACACAGGCCAGGTTCCTGACTTCAGGGAACTAGTGGGGAGACAGAAACAAATGGGGACTTTTGTCAAGTATTTTTAGAGATAGTTATGTTTGTTATATATGATTATCATGTGTGACAGTTACGTGAGGATGATTTCATCTCAAAGAAATGAGATAGAGTCTGGGCAATGCAGAGGAGGCTTAGAAATTGGAGAGGACAGTCTAGAATTGCAAGGGGTTGCTTGCACTGTGAGTTAGTTAATTGCAGCCTCTTCCACGTACTGTCTCTAGGATTGGTACAGTTTGCTTTTTCTTTTAGCCTTTATTTCCTCATCTGTAAGGTCACCGAGTTGCTGATGGCATTAAATGGAGTAATGAAGGCAACCTGCTTAGTACAGTGCTCAGCACAAAGGAAACAATCATTAATGTTGTTATTGTTTTTATTATTTGGCAGCCAAAGAGACTTATTTTGTTTTAAAAGCCGATCAATGGTGTGATTAGAGCTTTGCTTCTCTAAACAAACAAACAAACAAATAAATAAGAAAACACTGCTTTTAGAAATAAAATTCAGTCACCTTAGCCTGCAACAAATTACAGTATTTGGCTTCAGTTTACTTTTCTAAGTTATCTGTTTGTCTCCACCCTTCTGCCCACCTCTCCCATGAGTGACCTACACATCCTCTAAGCTTACCATTCTTTGGACATAGCTCCTCACTGGGTTCAAATCTTCCCTTTTGCCTGAAATGCCTTTGCTCCTTTACCCCTTTACCTCTCACACTCTAAGTCCTACCCTCTTTTAATACCTAGCCCAGCAGTCTGTTCCTCCCATTGAGAGGGGCCCTACTGAAGTCTGAACTCGTGGAGTGGACCACATCGTGTTCTGTATTATGGTCAGTGTCTCTCTTCTACTATGCTTGTGAGCTGCTTGAAATTACCTGCGTCTCACTGCTCTTCCTGTAGCATCCCTGGGGATTCAGGCACACATAGTAGGTGCTCACACTTCTATTCCACAAATTAGTGCTTTTCTCCAATGTTAAGCACAATGAAGAAAGCATTTTACAGATGATAAAATGCAAAGCAGAAAACGGTCATCACTGAGCCGTGTGCTCATCTACCCTGGGGATGGATTTCTGGGGATGATCCAGCCCCACCATAAATGACATCAGTGACTTGGATCTTTGCAGAAATTGAAGAGAATTCTGATGACTAGTGTGTTGGGAGAGTCCTGAAGGAAGCCAGACCAGCGCCTACACTCACAGAGCTTCTTGGGTGCCCTCTGGCTCCCCAGCGACCTACAGCAGGACCTCTGGTATGTAAACGGGCCTCTCTGCTGCCTGGGTTGCCCAGATCCCAGGTCCAGCCTCTGTGAATGGGCCTGGGAGGTTTAATGGGTTGGAATTTCTGTCTTTTTGATGTCTGCAACTTGAATCCTGGGCCCTTCATAATTCATGCTTAGGAGCTTTCTTAGTGCTCTCTGGTAAATAGCTCCTTACTGTGTGTTTATTTCCCCACGGGCATATTGCAGAGAGACTGGAGCCTGTGTTTCTAACAACTTCTCCAAGGAAAACATTGCAGATCACGTTTCTGGAACCGAGAATCTCGGTGTGGGGAAGGGGGTCTTTCAAATGTCCATCTCTATTACTTCCTTTCGGCCTGGCATTTGCTTGTAGCTGAAAAGGGAGAGTTTTTCTTGAGCACCGCTGTAGACATATGTGACTTGGCGATTGAAAATCTGACAGTCACTGCTGACCTTCAACTGCAAGAGTGAGTAGTGTATAGACATAACCTAGCAGAACGCCAGATTGTTACCCTTTAATTCCCAGAGCCTTAATGTTTCTTTGCCTTGAGAATGACCTCACTGGTTTTTAAATTTGTAATGGAATGCACAGTCATTTACAAGTAATCACACAATGATCCCTTACACTTTCGTGCCGCCTTCCCCATTTTCCAGAGGGCTTTCACTCTCATTATCTCATTTGATCCTCATAACTGCTCTGAGAGATAGGCAGAGGGGCTATTTTAGTTTTTAATTTTCAGGTGTAGAAAGCAAGGTTTAGAAAAGTTAAACAGTTGGCCAGAGGTCATACAGCTGGTAGGATTGCCCCTGGAATCTTGAGTAGTCTAACTCCGAAACCAGTATTCTTTTTACGACTTACTCATGCTGTGACCTTGGAAATATACTTAATCTCTCAGCCTCAGTTTGCCTATGACTGAATTGGTTATGAGACTACCTCCAGGGGTAATTGCCAGTAGGGATGAAATAAGACTATCTGGGAAAGCATTTACTAAATAGTAAAGCATGCTTCTAATGTGAGGCATCGTTACTACATATACTTTGAATCCAAATAGTGCCATCAGAACTGTGATGGAAAAGGACACCCCCACTCCCCTGCCACTGCACGGCCATTTGTAACGACACCGAGGTCTAGAATGGTGCTGGAGTTGTCAGGGATCATGAGCTCCCAGTCCTGTGATCAGCAGATTAGCCCTGTTGTCCTGCCTGCAGGCCGCGGAGGGCACTTGTGTTGATGAGGCCTTCTTTTCAGTAGAGTTCTCTTCATGCTTCTTTGAACAGCCTTTTATCCTGGAGACAGTGTTAGGTCTGAGAAGACTAGAGAG